GACCGCCCCACCCACAGCCCGGGACGTCTGAAGCATTGGGATACCACGTTTTCCCGCGGCCCTGGGGTAGGGGGGAGTCGGGGTAGGGGCGCGATTGCAGGGGTTTGCCTTTCTCTTAGGGGTGAGCTATACCCAAGCCCCATCAATTACCTGCGCCATGGTTAGCATATTGAGCCTCACAGCTGGGTTCCCTGGACTCCCCACTTCACAGCCGGGTAAACTGAGGCAGGGGGTGGGGCATTGGTGAGTTGCCCATGGTCATCCTAGGTATAAGGGAAGGAGTACCTCCTTTCCTGGTGCTCTGGCCCACTGACCATGATGTTCGGGAGGGAGGGGTGGGGCTGCTTTTGATTTCTGGCTAGTGCTTCAGGGAGGCTCTGACAGCCCAGTGGCCTTGCTAGGGAAGGATGAGCAGGGTGTGTCTGTGCACAGGCGCCAGCAGTCGTCTTTCAAGGGAGTGGAGACCCTGCGGATGAGTGGGCTGGGCTGCTGGGGGCGTGGCATGCTCTGTCAGTGTGATAGCCAGAACGCCTTGGCTGGACTTCCTCGGCCGCCTCCTGGACATCCTGCCACCTCCCTGCTGGCCCTTCCTGTCGTCAGCAGCCTTCCCTTCCCTGTCAGGAGCAGAAGGGATGTGGGGGGAGGAGGAGAGTGGTTGCCTTGCCCACTGGGTGCCTGCCTGGCTCTCTGCTGGCTGCCTTCACGTTACCAGACCTGATTCTTGAAGGTTGGAAGTAACATCTTCATCAAATAGATGAGGAAACCAAGGTGTGGCGAGGTGAAGTGTCATGCCCCAGGTGGCTCAGAGAGTCCCAGGCTGAGCCAGAGTTTGTATCCAGGTCTGTTCCAGCTTGCTTTCTTTGGAGAGATAAGAAATGTACACAGTTACTTGTCCTGGGGGCAGCACGTGCAGAGCAAGAGTAAGGGTGCTTGGAGGAGGGACAGCACATCCCTGCTGGTGGCAGGAGGCCTTCCCAAGGGAGGTGTCCTCCTGTGATTATAGGGCTTTGTCAGGCAGAGATGGACTAGCGAGGAGTCAGCAGTGTGGACAGAAGCTAGTGGTTGTGTTTGAGAACTAGCAAGAGCATCAGAAAGGGATCTGGGGAGGAGGGCCTCGCTGCTAGGGCTTGCTCAGGGGCAACAGGGAGACATGAAAGGTTTTAGAGCAGAGAGGAGGGTATGATCACCATTAATAGTGTTCACTGAGGCCCCAGGTGTGGTGGCTCACATCTGTAATCCCAGCACTTTGGGGGGCTAAGGTGGGTGGATCGTGAGGTCACGAGTTTGAGACCAGCCTGGCCAACATAGTGAAACCCCCATCTCTACTAAAGATGCAAAAAATTAGCGAGGTGTGGTGGCGCCTGCCTGTAGTCCCAGCTACTCAGGAGACTGAGGCAGAATTGCTTGAAATTTGGAGGTGGAGGTTGCAGTGAGCCGATTGTGCCATTGCACTCCAGCCTGGGCAACAGGGTGAGACTCCGTCTCAAAAAAAAAAAAAAAAAAAAGTGTTTATTGAGTTCACCCTGGCTGCCATTCGGACCTCAGCCTTCTGTACCTTCCTCCCCTGGCCCCCATGCCCTGAGTCAGGGATCCATACAGAACAAGTGGCACGAGTGTGTGAGGCTCCGAGGCTTCATGGAGTCAGGATCCTCTTCCACACCCTTTTGCCTTTGCCTGGGTGCAGCTTTGCTCCTGGAGCCTCCTTCCCCAGCGCCTGCTGGGCATCAGATTATATTTGGTTCCGTATGGACTGTCTGTCTCTCTCCTACAGTCCACCAGGGCAGGGGCCACAGCTCTCGGTCACAGCTAATTTCTTGGCCTACAACAGTGCCTGATGCTTTAGAAAAAGAAAATAAATTTCTGCAAACACCCCCTGCATCCCCATCTGTGCTGGGTCCTGGTGGCTAAACAGTGTGTCCCTGACTGTGACGTGACTTGCATCTAGTCAGTTTAGCCTGCGAAGGATAAGTAAATGGCCCCAAGATAGTCACAGATGCAACAGAGGCCTCAGCGAGGGGCCATGGGAGGCCAGGACAGGGGCATCTGGTGGTGCGGTGAGTGGCATGGACTGTGAAGGGACCTCAGAGGTGGCCATTAAGCCTAATATCTAAGGCCTGAGTAGGGGCTTGCCTGCTCATCAGAGGAGGAGGAAGCCTAGTATTTCAGGCCAAGGACACGGCACGTGTGAAGGGCCCGGAGTGCTGCTGTGTTGGGATCGGCAAGGACTGTGCAGTAGTATAAACACAGGCCCCTCAGCAAGGGGAGGCCAGGCTGGGAGGGTGTGATGGTGCTTCCCTGCCAGAGGCTGGGTGTGGTGGCTCATGTCTGTAATCCCAGCACTTAGGGAGGCTGAGGTTGGTGGATCACTTGAGGTCAGGAGTTCGAGACCAGCCTCGCCAACATGGTGAAACTCCCTTCTCTCTTAAAAATTTAAAAAAATTAGCTGGGCATGGTGGCAGGCACCTGTAATCCCAGCTATTTGGGAAGCTGAGGTCAGAGAATCACTTGAATCTGGGAGGCGGAGGTTGCAGTGAGCTGAGATCGTGCCATTGCACTGCAGCCTGGGCAGCAGAGAGAGACTGTCTCAAAAATAAATAAAGCCACCTGGAGCTATCCCTGGAAATTTTAAGTAAGCTTGGGGCACCAGGCCTTTTTTAGTGAGTCCTGCCAGCCCAAGGGTGCCTAGAGGGAGCTGTGTCCCTGTCCAGGTGGGAGGTAGGGCTGTGAAAACCTGCCAGTGTTCCCAAAAGGTGGCTTTCAGCAGGTGAAGAAGAGGCAATTGGGCCTGAAGAGCCCTGTACGAAGGGGCATCGTGGGAGATTTAGATGATGGGACCTTTTGACCCTAGGGACAGGTTTCCCTGCCAGTTTGAAAACTCACATTGGTTGGCCAGGCATAGTGGCTCACGCCTGTAATCCCAGCATTTTGGGAGGCCGAGGTGGGCAGATCACTTGAGCCCAGGAGTTCAAGACTAGCCTGGGAAACCCCATCTGTATAAAAAAAAAAAAAAAAATTAGCATGGTGGAGTGTATATGTCATCCCAGCTACTTAGAAGCTGAGGTGGAAGGACCACTTGATCCCGGGAGGTTGAGGCTGCAGTGAGCTGTGATTGCATCACCACACTCCAAAATGGGCAGCAGAGCAGGGCCGTGTCTCAACAAAACAAAACTCACATCGGTGACCTCCTAATCCCAAAGTCAGTGTGTCATGGCGTGCCTGACATGGTGTGTGATGCGTCTGCTGGGCTCTGGAGGATCACCAGGCTTCTCCTTGTACGGACACGTTCAGTCCTGTCGGAAGCTACGGGAGGAAAGGATTGCCCCATCATTTGCCACATCAGGCAGCCAGGACTCAGAAAGGGGCTGACTTAGGAAGGTCACGGCAGCTCCACTTCCCAGGCAGCCCTAGAGGTTCTGTCATTCCTGCCCCTGACCTCCCAGCCCTGGCCCAGGGACTTTCGCCTGGGCCGACCCAGTCGTGCCAGCTCTGTGGGCCCAGTAAGCCTGGCTCCTCCAGGCCAGGTAGGGATTGGGGAGACTGCCCATAAAGCACAGGAATTTAGACCAGGGGGATAGAAGAGGGTAGATATTTCCTCAGCAAGTTTTTCGTGAGCCTTGCTGTGGTCAGGTCCCCTCCCCTGCAAGGCTCTGGGGCCACAGGAGGTCCCAGACTGAAGGAAAGTAGAGCCAGGTGTGGTCACCAATCTTCAGTCTTAGTTTAGGGTTGCCCTGGGCAGCCTCTGCCTCAGGTGGAAGACGGGGTGGGCATTTGAGAGCAGCAGGACAAATGCAGCCCCAGGGGTTCTTGGCTCTGAGCAGAGCCTGTGTCTCTCCCTTAGAGGCATGCTGGGAGGGGCTGGGATGCCATGCTACTGGGACCGCCCACCATGGCTGTAGGGGGCTCTGGATCTTCAGCTGCCCCAAGCCCCCCTTGGTCCACTCCCTCTACCTGAGAAGGGACTCCGTGTGAGGAGGGTGGATCAGGAGAGGTGGCCAGGCAAGGTGGCTCTGGTTTCCAGCTGCCACTGCCACCACCCACCCCACTGAGCCATGCCACCCGCCCTCTGCACGCAACCAGACACCTTGGCCTAGTGAGGCCTTGATGTAGGTGCTGATAGGTAGGCTTAGAGCTATGGCAACAGGTGGCCACCTCCTCCCAGCTGGTGGCAGGAGCTGAGACCGCAGAGGGACCAGGACTTAGATAACAGAGGTCTCCCCAGCAGCCTGGGAGGATCTGGTGATTGACACCCACCAGATGGGCATGGGGAGAAAAATGCTGGGATGAGCAACTTCTTTATCCAGGCCTGGGTGGGGGTGCCTGGCACGGCCCCCATGGAACATGCTACAGCTGGCAGCCCCCAGACCCCGGGGCTGTGCTCCTCTAGGAAGCATCCAGAAGGTAGGGCTTGCTGGGACTGAGGTACTCTAGCTTCCCAAAGAGATCTAGGGGGGACCAGAGGGTTCCTGACCCCAGCCTGCCTCCCATAGTCTCCTGGAGCCAAGGGAAGGGCAGGACTGGTGGGGCGACAGGAGGGCCCATGGGACAGGCTAGGCAGGAGCATGAGGTGTGGTCCCCTCAGGCCACCTGGTCCTCATCAGAGGGAGGAACTGGACAGTTCGCGCAGTGCCGCTGGCCTGGGCTGCCCTCTGAGCTTTCAGGCGGTCTCTTTACAGGCAGAGTCCTCCCAGCCCCTCTCTGCCACTCTTGGGTGAGGGGTGGGCTGGAGGGAGGTCCCTGAGACATCTGGGTTAGTGTGCCACCCACCCAGCCCAACTTCTCAGCTCTCCAAGTGCTGCTATCAGGAAAGGGGCTAGGTCTGCCTCTGGCTGGAGAGCCTGCTTGGACTTGGGGGTTACTTAGGCCCTTAGCCCTCTTGGCTGGCTTCCTAGGAGCTCAGTCCCACAGGACTTGGGGGCAGGGTGGGTGCAGCATGTCCCCCTCGCCAGCCCCTGTCAGCTTCCTGCTGGCCCCGACTCACCTCCCTCCTCCTCTCCCCACAGCCCGATCTGCTCAACTTCAAGAAGGGATGGATGTCAATCTTGGATGAGCCTGGAGAGGTAGGAGGACCAAGGCGGGACAGGAGGAGGCTGGCTTGTGCTGATGTCGGGCCCCGGGGCAGCCCAGGAGGCTGAGCTGTCCCTGGCTTCTGGGGGTGGGGGCCGGGTCTGGTGTGAGAACCCTGGGGGCAGGGGCTGCCCATCAGACTTCTGCCTCCTGGAGCAGTCTGCAGTGTGTAAAAGGGACCAGGGTGGGGGCCATCTAGCCCCTCACGCCCAGTGCTCCATCTCGATCTCATCAAGAGCCCCTTGGCCCTCCCACCTCAGTAGGAGCCTGGCTGGGAGTCGAGGGTCTTGGGTGGAAGGGCTGATGGAAGTTGTGTGGCCCGAGACACAGATTCCTAAAGCCTGGGCTGAAGGGGTGGGGCTCAGGGCACAGGTGCTGGAGTTTCACCCACCTGGAGCCCCACTGGTTGGGGTTGAGTCACAGCCTCCTCTAGGCCTCAGTGGCCACATCTGTGACATGGGCATAATGGATAATGGTGATTCTTTCCAGGTGGATAACAAGGTCACAGAGATCAAGCGTGTACAGGTGTCAACAGCCCCTGGCACTTACAATGGGCTCAGCTAAAGACCCTACCCTTCCTGTGGCATATGTGTCCTTGGAACCAGCAGGGACGGTGGCCGTTTCCCAGCTCTGTTCTTTCGGCTGCCAGGCTGGCTCCCTGCCCACCCTGCCTGGGCGGAAGCGTCTCCCCACCCCGGCCCTGCATGCGCCTGCCACCCCGGTCTGCGTGCAGCCTGCATGCCGGGGAGGGCTCCAAGCCAGAGGGGATTTCATTGTGTTTCCGGCCCGCATGTTTTATTCCCTCCAGCCCACAGCCTTCCCTACCCGTTGCCTGCCCGCTGCCCCTGGCGGCCGCTCTCTAGGCTCACACAAAGGCTGGCACCTGGCCAGTGACCCCTTCCCGGCCTCCCCACCCAGGGTCCCCGGAGGGCAGAGGGATTACAGGCCCCACCCAGAGCTGGCCATTACTCATCCTCTATCACAGGGTTCTGGAATGTCCGAGCTGGAAGGGCCCTGGGAGTTCAGCCAGCTCAACCCCTTGGTGCACAGACAGGAGACAGGCACACGAGGGTGTCAGTCTCTTCCAGGCCTAGGGGCACCTGGGGCAGACCCAGGCTCAGAAGTCGGCACACCTGAGGCCTATGGAGCTCCACCCAGTTTCTGTCTCGGACAGTCGTAGGCTAGGCCTGGAAGAGCTAAAGAAACCACTTGGTATTGAACCCCTGTCCTACTTTACAGAGAGGCAGTTGAGGTCTGCAGTAGCAACTCTGTTCACTCAGTGACAGCAGAATGGTTCTAAGAGGCCCAGCCTCCCAGAACGAACCCAATGACCTGGTGTCCATGTCTATGCCAAGGGCCATGACAGCCATACATACAAGAGAGGGTCAGGCACCTCTTACCTCACCAGAAGGTGTAGGGACTTCTTTTTTTTTTTTTTTTTTTTTGCGACAGTCTTGTTCTGTCCCCCAGGCTGGAGTGCAGTGGCTCAATCTTGGCTCACTGCAACCTCCACCTCCCGTGAAGGACCTATGCCAGGCATAGGGACTTCTTATAGCTCTCCTTTATGTGTCAGAAGACTGAAGCTCAGAGAAGTGGAGACACTTGCCTAAAGGCACACAGCAAGCAAGGGAACTCTTGGGTGCAAAACCTTGTTTCTCAGGGAGGCAATGTGGAAAGAAGTAGAAAGTATCATCCTTACATGCCCCCTGAAAACTCACCCTCTTCTTGAGGAGAGAAAACTAAGTACTTGAAACACCCAACAGCACAGACAGGGCTTGGTGATGCAAGGGAACCCGGGAGGGCTGGGGACCGGGTGACGTGCACTGACCCTGGCAGTAGGCGGGCCGAGACTGGGATTCCAGTGGAGTCTCCAGAAGCCCGGAGGTGGGCTGGGCTTGGCATAATATTGGGCTGTTCTGGCACCCCCACCCCTTTCCTACATGCCCTGCCAATCTCACCCCCAGCTGGAGCAGAGACAGGCAGTGCAGGAATGCACCCAATCACAAATCCTAAATGTGCAGGTTAGTGCGCTCTCACCCGCTGCACATGCGGGTAGCCAGCCTGCAGATCAAGAGGCAGACTGTGTGGCCGGGCACGATGGTTCACACCTATAATCCCAGCACTTTGGGAGGCTGAGTTGAGCGGATCACCTGAGGTCAGGAGTTTGAGAGCAGTCTGGCCAACATGGTGAAACCCGTCTCTATTAAAAATGACAAAAATCAGCCAGGGGGAGTGGTGGGTGCCTGTAATCCCAGCTACTCAGGAGACTGAGGAGAATTGCTTGAACCTGGGAGGCAGAGGTTGCAGTGAGCTGAGATCACACAGACTACACTCCAGCCTAGGCAACAAGAGCGAAACTCCGTCTCAAAAAAAAAAAAAAAAAAAAAATGCAGATTGTGCCTGGCACTCACTCCTACCCCTACCCTGGGGCTCCATCCAGTCCTACTCCCTGAGGGACTATTGTCCCTAACCATGGTGATGATCTGGGGAATATGGAAAAAGACATGAAGTCCTGGCCCCACTTAGTCCCTGACTTGCTTACACAGGTCATCACCCCTCCCTGTCTGCACTGGGTCTGGGGTGCCTGAGGAGCCTTGGTCATCTTAAAAAGGGCTCCAAGAAGGAAAGGGAGGGGAAGCCAGCCCATTTCACAGATGCAGCCCCTGAGGCTCAGAAAGGAAATGGAGGGGCCAGGTCTCAAATCAGCATTTTCTGCTTCTGCACCCCTCCTGTGTGCAGCATAGTCGGTTTGGCAGCCACCCAGGACACCTGTACAATCGCACACACTGGCTCTCTCATTCCACCCTCCTTGCAGCCTCCCACCCCCTCGCTCACCACCACCTCTACTTCGCAGTGGAAGAAGCATTGGTTTGTGCTGACAGATTCAAGCCTCAAATATTACAGAGACTCCACTGCTGAGGAGGTGAGCTCAGGGGTGTACTGATGAACCCCCAGAAGGGCTTGGGGTGGCCTGGCTGGGGTCAGTGGAGTGGGTCACGCCAGGGCCCATGCAGACCATAGTGGGCCCTCCTGCTCCAGGCAGATGAGCTGGATGGTGAGATCGACCTTCGTTCCTGCACGGATGTCACTGAGTATGCGGTGCAGCGCAACTATGGCTTCCAGATCCATGTGAGGCTTCGTGCGGCTTGGGGGCTGGTGGTGGACAGCATGGCTGGAGGTCCCTGGGGGAGGTTTTGGTATTGAACGTGGCTCACCATGGAGGCTGGATCCCTGTCACTCATTTACCCAGAGACTCTGTCCTCAGAGCCAGACAGAGCTGTGATGCCAACACTTAGCATATGTGGAAAGATGTTGGTGCCAGCAGAGCGCCTCCCAGGCCAATGGAAGGGAGGTTTTGTACCCCATGCCCACCCCAGAGTCAAGACCTTAGACACCTCCTGGGAAGGAAGGGTCAGCCTCCCCGGGGTCCATGGTGGGGAGGGAGACAGGGGGCTGGCCATGTGGCAACCTACCTGTGCGGTGGCCTTACAGACCAAGGATGCTGTCTATACCTTGTCGGCCATGACTTCAGGCATCCGGCGGAACTGGATTGAGGCTCTGAGAAAGACTGTGCGTCCAACCTCAGCCCCAGATGTCACCAAGTACGTACTAAACTGGACTGGGGCCTTGGGGGAAGCACTTGGCCTTCCATCCCTGAGTAGGTTTCTACTGAGGGCTTTGCCTTCTGGGCCTTTGTTTCTCTATCCACACATGGGAAGAGAGCAGTAGGCATTCTTGGCATCATCCTGAAATACACTGAGGGTGAGAGGTTTGATCTGCCTCCTCACATGTGATGGAAGGGGCCCCTTCTCTTTGAAGGAGATCCTATGAGTCAGAAGCTCCTGCTAGAGGGCTGTTCTGTCTCTGCCATGGGGGCTGTGTCTAAACCTGTGTTGGGAAGGGGTGGCTAAGTAGTCTGGCGTCGGCACCCATGCCTCCTGGGATGGGGAGCCCACTCCCTCTGGAGGCTGCCATGGGCACTGGGACAGGAGAGCTGAGTTACCTAGTGGCAGAGCCCCCCACAGTATAAACCCTAGATGGCCATGGTGGGCTGGGACTTGGAGCTGCTGGGCAGTGGGAACAGAGTGTGGTATTTTTTTAATTTAATTTAATTTAATTTTTTTTGAGACCGAGTCTTGCTCTGTTGCCAGGCTGGAGTGCAGTGACACGATCTTGGCTCACCGCAACCTCCTTCTGGATTCAAGCGATTCTCCTGCCTCAGCTTCCTGAGTAGCTGGGACTACAGGCACATACGACCATGCCCGGCTAATTTTTGTATTTTAGTAGAGATGGGGTTGCACCATGGCCAGGCTGGTCTCAATCCCCTGACCTCATGATCTGCCCGCCTCGGCCTCCCAAAGTGCTGGGATTACAGGCGTGAGCCACTGCGCTCAACCCAGAGCGTGGTGTTAAAGAAGGCTGGTGCGTGTGGTGGCTCACACCTGTAATCCCAGTGCTTTGGGAGACTGAGATGGGACGACCACTTGAGTGCAGGAGTTCAAGATCAGCCTGGGCAATATAGTGAGACCTCGTCCCTACAAAAATAATTTAAAAATTAGCCAGATGTGGTGGGGTGTGCCTCTCAGCCAAGATGGGAAGAGGCAGAGTCCCCAGCTTGGCCACACTGTGGCTATTCAGCTTTAGGCCAGAGGCTTTCCCGTCTAGGTTTCAGAGTCCTCGTCTGTCACGTTAGCATGTCACATCTGTACATGTGCAAGGATGTGGCTAGAGTGCTTTGTGAACTCTGAAGTACTATGCAGCTGGACTGTTACTTAGTGTATATGTCCAGCTGCTTTAACAAAGAAACCCCAAACACAGTAGCTTAACCGAGATAGATGTTTATTTCTCCCTTCAGCACGGCCCAGAGTTATGCAGTCCTGGCCTGGTGGGGCCCGTCTGCCCTTTCAGAGGAGCCACCTGACACACCCACTTGGCAGCCTGTATTCACATGACTACAAGCAGCTGCGGGAACACTGGGAAGTGTAGTTTTTGGCAGGGTGACTTCATACTCAGCTATTACTGAGCTATTACTGTGGATAAAGAGAATTGCAGCCAGGTACGGTGGCTCACACCTGTAATCCCAGCACTTTGGGAGGCTGAGGCGGGCAGATCACGAGATCAGGGGATCGAGACCAGCCTGACCAACATATGAAACTCTATCTCTACTTAAAAATACAAAAATTAGCTGGGCATGGTGGCGCGCACCTGTAATCCCAGCTACTTGGGAGGCTGAGGCAGGAGAATTGCTTGAACCGGGGAGGCAGAGGTTGCAGTGAGCCGAGAGCATGCCATTGTACTCCAGCCTGGGCAATAGAGCGAGACTCCATCTCAAAAACAAAAAGAAATTGCTATAGATGTTCAGAGTCTCTACAACCTGTGCTCTGTGCACAAGGTCCCTGCCTTCACCCCGTCAGCAGTGACTGTGGGCACCCCCATTACCACTGTGAGACTTGGGACCCCAGGCCATTGTCTCCCACAGCAACTCACTGATCACCATTGGCAGAAAGCCTTCTGCCTGCTTTCCACGCTCGCCCACCCAGTCCTCACATCCATCCTGCAAGAGGTGGTGCTGTCCCACGTTACAGATGAGGTCACTGAAGCTCAGAGAGGGCAAAGGGGCCAATGTGGTGGCACACACCTGTAATCCCAGTGCTTTGGGAAGATGAGGTGGGAGGATCACATGAACTCAGGAGTTCGAGACCAGCCTAGGCAATATATTGAGACCCCCATCTCTACCAAAAATTTAAAAAATTAGCTGGGCATGGTGGTGCATGACTATAGTCCCAGCTACTCCGGAGGCTGAGGCAGGAGGATCACTTGAGCTAAGGAGTCTAAGGCTGCAGTGAACTATGATCTCACCAGTCTACTTCAGCCAGGGCAATAGAGTGAGACCCTGTCCCTTGAGAAACCTACAAGAAGAGGGGGCAAGGGAAGCCAGGTGTCCTGGAGGGCCCCTGGGATGTCAAGTGTTGGAGCTGGGATGTTCCTGGGGTCTGTTAGCCAGGAAGCTCAGGTCAGGCTGCTTCCTTCCCTGGGGTCGGTCTCCAGCCCCTGGCACAGGGCTGGCACACAGGTGTCACTCCAGAAGAGCTCGTTGTGGGACTGAGTGGGAGAGGACCCACCTGACGTGGCTCTGCTGGTGCCCTAGGCTCTCGGACTCTAATAAGGAGAATGCGCTACACAGCTACAGCACCCAGAAGGGCCCCCTGAAGGCCGGGGAGCAGCGGGCAGGCTCTGAGGTCATCAGCCGGGGTGGCCCTCGGAAGGCGGACGGGCAGCGGCAGGCCCTGGACTACGTGGAGCTCTCCCCGCTGACCCAGGCCTCCCCACAGCGGGCCCGCACCCCGGCCCGTGCTCCTGACCGCCTGGCCAAGCAGGAGGAGCTGGAGCGGGACCTGGCCCAGCGCTCCGAGGAGCGGCGCAAGTGGTTCGAGGCCACAGACAGCAGGGCCCCAGAGGTGTCCGCTGGTGAGGGGCCACGCCGGGGCCTGGGAGCCCCCCTGACTGAGGACCAGCAGAGCCGGCTCAGTGAGGAGATCGAGAAGAAGTGGCAGGAGCTGGAGAAGCTGCCTCTGCGGGAGAATAAGCGGGTGCCACTCACTGCCCTGCTCAACCAAAGCCGTGGAGAGCGCCGGGGGCCCCAAAGTGACAGCCATGAGGCCCTGGAGAAAGAGGTAGGCCCCACGCTGGCTCTCTAGGAGGCCCCTCGCCCCTGTGCCCCTCCAATCCCTGCGTTCATGCCCTGACATTTGTCTTGCACTCCTACAGGGATGGAGAGCTCACCCCTGATCTGCTGTGAGTGTATACCCTACACTCCTTTGAACAAGAATCTTCTTCCTTAGACCTTAGTAGTTTGGTTTGGGTTTGTTTGTTTGCTTTTCCCCTAGTTCTGCCCTTAGCCACCACAGAGAAGCAAAGTGGGAAAAGAGGGGAGAGACCTGCCAGGCACGATGGCTCACACCTGTAATCCCAACACTTTGGGGGGCCAACGTGGGAGGATCACTTGAGCCCAAGAGTTCAAGACCAGTCTGTGCAACGTGGCGAAACTCCATGTCTACAAAAAATACGAAATCTAGCTGGGTGTGCTGGTGCGCACCGGTAGTCCAGCTACTTGGGAGGCTGAGGTGGGAGGATGCCTGGAGCCCAGGAGGCGAGGTTACAGTGAGCCAAGATCAAGCCACTGCACTCTAGCATGGGCAGTAGAGCCAGACCTTGTCTTAAATTAAAAAGAAGAAGAAGGAGAGACCGTTATTGTGTTTATTATCTTCTGCACATGGCCTCTCTGCCTGCACTGACTCATGGAATCTTCAATGCGGCCTCCACCCCTAGGGTGGACCTTAGCAGTGTTACTCGCAGGAAAACTGAGGCTCAAAGATGTTTCCACTGTCACCTACATGATGTGTAAATATCTGTGACCACAGTTTTCTGTTCCCAACCCTGTCTAGTCTCCTCTGGGCCAAGGCTCTCCCAGGTCATTGACCTGACCATCCAGGAAACAGCCCAGCGTGCCCCTGACCCCATCTCACTCCAGGGCTGCTTGCCCCTCTTTCAGACCCTGAGCCATTCCTAAGCCTCCCAGGGACGCTGAGCTGGCATCCGTGTGGAGCTGGCAGCCTGTGGGCTCCTCACTGCCTTCCACCAGCCCTGCCCCGGCTTCCAGGCCCCACTGATCACCCTCCTCCCTCATAGGTTCAGGCTCTTCGGGCCCAGCTGGAGGCGTGGCGTCTCCAAGGGGAAGCTCCTCAGAGTACACCGAGATCCCAGGAGGATGGCCACATCCCCCCTGGCTACATCTCACAGGTAAGGCTGGGGGGCTGTTTTTTGGGGGGAAGGGGCAGGTTTTTGATTGTGGTGTTATCAGAAAACAGCTGAGATTTTGGGAGCCCTTCCTGTGTGTGCTGGAACCCATGTGAGGCATTTGACATGCGTCATCTCGTTTAATCTCCCCACAGCTGGTGGGCCTGATCACGGTGCCCATTTTACAGACAAGGCCACTGAGCTCTGAGAGGTTATGTGACTTGCCTGAGGTCACCCTGCCTGCAGGTGTCAAAGGTGGGATTTGAGCCAGGGTCCAGCTGACTGCAGAGCCTGTGAGTCCCCATGTGACACTCTGCACTCGACCCTTCCCCCGGGAAAGTGGGGGCCAGTGGCGCCAAGAGTCACTCCCTGAACACAGGGAAATCCTTCGAGGCCCAGCAGGCCAAGGCCCCACACAAGGAGGTCTGCAGGACCGGGGAGTGTCTCCAGTGGCCCTCAGAATGCACCATCTGCCTAGGACAGTGGTTCTTAACTGGGTCCATTTTGTCTCCCTTGGGGACATTTGGCTGTGTCTGGGAACAATTTTGGTTGTCACAACTAGGACAAACTACCTAGAAAAAAAAGTGTGTGTGCACATATATAAGTTTATTATAAAGTTTACCAATGAAAACAATGTTTAGTGTCCAGTTTACTAATATACAATTTTATTGTGAATTCCATATAGCAAATGGATTTTTCTCAGAATGCTCTCAGTGATTTTTCCACACTCTTGTATCCACAACTAATTAACAAACAGGTTGTTTCAGCATGTATACTGGTTGACACTTTTCTCTATGGTAATGAGTAAGATGACGAGACATTTGTCGAAAATTTACTGGTCCATGTTGTGGGTGACTTCTTTGCTAAATCTGATAGTGGTTTTTTATTAAGAATATCTGAGCCGGGCGCGGTGGCTCAAGCCTGTAATCCCAGCACTTTGGGAGGCCGAGGCGGGTGGATCACGAGGTCAAGAGATCGAGACCATCCTGGTCAACATGGTGAAACCCCGTCTCTACTACAAATACAAAAATTCAGCTGAGCATGGTGGCGTGTGCCTGTAATCCCAGCTACTCAGGAGGCTGAGGCAGGAGAATTGCCTGAACCCAGGAGGCGGAGGTTGCGGTGAGCTGAGATCGCGCCATTGCACTCCAGCCTGGGTAACATGAGTGAAACTCCGTCTCAAAAAAAAAAAAAAAGAATATCTGAGAATATCCTATTGTGAATATTTTTGCAATTCTTGTTCTATTTATAATGTAATGGTTATAGCTGTGACACACTTTTAAGTTCAGTTTGCGTTATTAGCATTTTCTTGTCACTCGTTTAAGTCTAGACAGTCAACCAAACAATGAATCAAGCCCTGCTGTGTATGGTTTACCAGTTCCATGGTGTGAATACTCCCACTGTGGCTGATGCTGCGTTACCAGCATGAAGTCCCTGGACACAGAGTTGGGAGGAGATGTCAGATCATTCTGTAGGATTTCCGCCATGCAGATACAGTAGATGTGACTGACCCCAAGAGCACTCATAATAAAACAGTGAAATAATTAGAAAGTAATAAATTTGAGTATCCATTACCTTGTCTTTAATGTAGTTAATTATAAGTATATAAATTTTAATTTTTAATGGCTGTGCTTAACAACTACATCACAGAATTCCTAAAAATTTGACAATCAACTGTCTGCAGTCAGCGCACCATAACCTAAAGTAGAAAAGAAGGCCCCAGGCAGGAGGAGCCTTCTAGAAGTTTCCAAGGAGAGGTCACGTGAGGGGGCTCTCAGGAAGGTATTGTCTGGGGCATGAGAAAAGAGGCTGGTTGGTGCCTATTGTGGAGGCCTCCAGTGCTGAGCTAAGAGTTAGAAGCTCTGGCCGGGCATCGTGGCTCATGCCTGTAATCCCAGCCCTTTGGGAGTTTGAGGTGGGCAGATCACTTGAGGTCAAATGTTTCATCCTGAGACCAGCCTGGTCAACAGGGTGAAACCCCCTTTCTGCTAAACAAACAAAAGTTAGTAGGGCGTGGTGGTGTGCGCCTGTAATCCCAGCTACTCTGGTGGCTGAGGCAGAATTGCTTGAACCCGGAAGGCAGAGGTTGCAGTGAGCTGAGATCCTGCCTCTGCACTCCAGCCTGAGTGACGCTGAGAATCTATCTTTTATTAAAAAAAAAAAAAGCTCACTCCACAGACTTAGACTTTTGGAAGTTCAGAGTCAAACAGTGATGTCAGGAAAGTGATGTCAGAGTGGATGGGGCTTGGGAGAGGGCCAGGTATAAGGCACTAGATTAGTGGCTATAGGAGTGTGAATGTCAGGGGTCTGGAGGAAGGAGAATTGAGAGCTGGATGACCAGATCTGTGGAAGGCAGGGGTGCCTTCGGGGGCCCTGAGGCTGGGGCTGCTCCTGCGAGGAAGCCCAGAGAGCATAGAGGTTCCACTGATGGAGGAGCAGGGGTGGGACACAGAGGGTGAGCGTGGGGGCTTACCCTGTCCTGGGGAGGGGCAGGGGAGAGGCCAGTGTTGTGCACTGTAGCCCCTCCCCAGGGCAGAGAAGGGAGCTGGGGGCCCAACACCCCAGATGAGGCAGGTGGGAGGACCTCAGAAAGCCCAACCAGGGGCTTTCACATGCACTCTGTTCTAAGGCGCTCCAGGGGTTGCTTTCTGGGTGGGGGGGGCTGGGGCCCATTTGTACCCACCTATAATCAGAGCAGCTTCATTTTTCTCCATCTTATTTTAATTTTTTTAGAGATGAAGTCTCTCCCTGTCACCCAGGCTGCAGTGCAGTGGCACAATCATGGCTCACTGCAGCCTCGAACTCTAGGGCTCAAGCAATCCTCCCACCTCAGCCTCCTGAGTAGGAACCACAGGTGCACACCACCATGCCTGGCTAATTAAAAACCTTTTTTTGTAGAGAAAGGTCTCACTGTGTTGCCCAAGCTGGTCTTGAACTCCTGGGCTCAAGTGATTCTTCCACCTTGGCCTCCCAAAGTGCTGGGAGTACAGGTGTGAACACTGCACCGGCCCATCTTTGTCCATTTTACTCACAGAGCCAGCTTTAGATTTCCTTTGGATAAAGGCTGTGCCACTACAGTGAAGTCTGAAAGGCACTGCTATGGCTTCTCAGCTTACAGGTGGCAAAACTGAGGCCCACAGAAGGGTGTGATCTTTGAGCTGTGGGCAGACCTGTGTCTGGAATCCAGGCGTTCTAGTCCCCCCGTGCCCCTCTGGGTGCACCACAGGCTGTCAGCATTTTATCCCGTTACAGTGGCATGGGCAGGGGGAGCAGGTGGGAGGGGAGAAGGGAGTAATTGTGAAATAGAGCTGAAGACCAGGCAGGTGGAGGATTGACACCAGATGCGGAGGGAGGGCAGATGCGAGGGAGGGTTCAGAGAAGAGGAGCTGAGTCATCTGTGTCGCCCTCAGGCATGGGAGGAGGCAGCTGGAAACTCAGTGGACCTGGAGGAGTGACAGCTGGGGAGGGATTCCCCAACTGGTGTCTCAGGCTGAGTGGGTGCCCTTCCTTCAGGGCTTGGGGGCTTGGCGCTGTGGGACAGCTGTCGGGTGGTCTGGGGCTTCACCCACTGGATGTCTGGTAAAGAGGACCCTTCCCCACTGTTGTGGTGGGTGACAGAGGCATTTCTTTATCTATTTTGATATGCATGTTAGAGGCAACAGCCAGAATCAGGACACCTTGGGCCACTCAGGAAGGTAGGTCACAGAGCATTCCCTGGCCATCTAGGTGTCCCTCTTCGTCAGCTGGGTCCCACCTCCCGATGTCAGCCCCTGCACCCCTGAGCTGCCAGGTCTGCCTGCCTGATCTGGCCCTTTTCAGAAGCCCAGTCCCCACCCCCATGTTGCTGGGCTCCCCACTGGTGGGTACGGCTGGCATAGGGTCTCCCTCTGTGCACGGGGTTCCTGTCCCGTACCCAGGGAGCCTCGGGGGCTGGTCCTGTGAGGCCTGCTTTACAGATGCCAAGACTGGAGCTCAGAGGGGCGAGGGGCTTGTTCAGGTTCACTCTGAGATGCAGCCAGGATGAGGACCCCCCTCTGAGGTCCAAAGCCATGTTCTGTTGTCCTAAGCCGGGAGGCATATAGAGGGCAGGGACAGAAGTCAGGCACAGCCACCCCTGTCTCCACTTGAAGCTCTTGGCTCTCATCCTTCTATCATATCACCCCCTGCAGCCCAGGTGGGGCTGCCGGAGAGGCAGGGAGGTGGCCTGTGTGTGGGGGAGACAGCCCCTCATCTGGCCCTCTGGGCCTCAGTTTCTTCCCTCGCACTTCTTCCCACTTCCCTTTTTAATTACCTTAAACATTTTTTTAATTATATAAAAAACATGTTTACATTTTCAAAAATAATTCAAACAAATTGAAAGGTTAGAAATCAACACCCTCACATCCCTTCCGCTGCCAGCTGCCACCCTGGGGTCACATCGGTGGCTGCTGCCGCCTTGCCTGCCTCTCAGTTTCCTGTGGCAGCTGTAACCGGTCACCACAGCTGCCTAAATAATGCACATGTATTACCTCACGCTTCTGTAGGCGAGAAGTCTAACGTGGGTCTTGCCGTGCTGCAGCTGAGGCAGGACTGTGTTTCTCTACAGGTGCCCGTGGCTTCCCTTCTGGTGGCCGCCCAGGTCCCTTGGCTCTCAGCCCCTTCCTTCATCTTCAAAGCCTGCAGAGGGGAAGTTGAGTCCTTCTCCCGCCACATCACTCTGACCATCCCTTCCTGGTCACACCTCCCTTGAACTCTTTGCTTCTGCCCCTTCGTCCACTTTTAAGGACCCTTGTGATTACACTGGGCTCGAGGGATAATCTGGGATAATCTCCTGATTTTAAGGTCAGCTGATTAGCAACCTTCATTCCCTCGGCAGTCTGAATTCCTCTTTGCCACGTAACATGACAATCACAGATCCTTGGGAGTAGGATGTGGACAACTTTGGGGGGCTGTCATTCTGCCCCCCACAATCTCCTCCCTACCTTTTCTGTGTTTTTGTGTCCAAGGACTGGGACGGACAGGTCTGCACATTTGTCCCCGTGAGTGAGATCATACCACGTGTGTCAGAAGCCAACTTTCACTACCTGATTTTGGGATCTTTTTCCACAGCATCCACATTAAAACTCTGTCTAGGCCGGGCGTGGTGACTCATGCCTGTAATCCCAGCACTTTGGGAGGCCAGTGTGGGTGGATCATGAGGTCAGGAGTTCAAGACCAGCCTGGCCAACATGGTGAAACCTTGTCTCTACTAAAAATACAAAAATTAGTCGGGCATGGTGGCACTTGCCTGTAATCCCAGCTACTTGAGAGGCTGAGGCAGAAGAATCGCTTAAACCGGGGAAGCAGAGACTGCAGTGAACCGAGATCATGCCACTGCACCCCAGCCTGGCCAACAGAGCAAGACTCCAATCTCAAAAAAAAAAAAAAAAAAAAATTGTAAAGCTCGATCCCATCATTTATTCAAGAGTTCCCCTGATAGGCATTTAGATTGTTTCCGGTTTTCATCTGTTACCAACCTTGCCGTAGGGAAGAAATACCCTTGTTTCAGGAGTGTCTGTACACATGTGACTTGCTGTGGGATCAGAAAAGGAGTGGACCTGCTAGGTCAGCCAGTGGGGTCGCAAAATGTGATGATGCCACCAGACCACCCCCCTCACACACACGGTCACGGCGGACACTCCCAGTAGTGGGTATCACTAGTCTTTGAGATACTTGCCCATCTTGTCTACTAAGCATTATTTTGTATTACGTCATCAGTTTCAGCTCATTTTCTGAGCACCTGCCACATGTCAGGCCCTGGCCTAGACCCTGGGGACTGCACCAGTCAGGTGTTCTCAGTCTTTAGGGAACTTATGGTTTGACAGAAGCAGAACATTTTCAGGCAGGGGAGAGGCTGCCCAGAGACAGAGCTAGGAGAGACATTTAAACTGGGTTGCAGGTCAGTAAATTCCCCCGGGAGGTAAAGTTGCCAAAAAAGCGTTCTAGGCAGTGGGAATAGCATGAGCTGAAGCTCAGAGGTGTGAACGTGCTGCAACTGTAACTATAAGATTTCGTGGCAGAGAAGGGCCGGGGATGAGACCGCAAACGTCAGCCATGGGAGCAGGGACTTGACTCTGTAGGACGGGGAGTCCCTGGAGGGCTTGAGGCAGGAGTGACAAGGTGAGGTTTGTGAACAAGGAGCTGTGGCTGGAGGTGCCAGGGCCCAGGAAGAGGTGGTGCACCTGCCCCTGAGCCTTCTCTGGAGTCTGGGAAAGGGCCGCTGTCCCAGAGGAACGGGCAGCCGCTGACACCCTGGCCTCCGGCCCGCAGGAGGCATGTGAGCGCAGCCTGGCAGAGATGGAGTCCTCGCACCAGCAGGTGATGGAGGAGCTGCAGCGGCACCACGAGCGGGAACTGCAGCGACTACAGCAGGAGAAGGAGTGGCTCCTGGCCGAGGAGACAGCAGCCACAGCCTCAGGTATGGACCCTGGGTGGGGCACAGTGGGCTGAGCCCTCAGCCTCCCCACTGAGTCTCCTCCTGGCCAAACTAGGGAGGATTTTATCAAATAAGAGGTAGGGGTCTCAGTGCCACATTTGGGGTAAGGGTCAGCAGGGGTTGGAAGCCCCTAGAACTGGCCTGTAGCCGCTACTTGAAAAGGTGAAACTGAGGCAGAAAAGACACCCTCCCCAGCCAGGTGCGGTGGTTCATGCCTGTAATCCTAGCACTTTGGAAGGTCAAGGTGGGCAGATCGCCTGAGGTCAGGAGTTAAAGACCAGCCTGGCCAACATGGAGAAACCCCATCCTTAGTAAAAATATACAAAATTAGCCAGGCGTGGTGGCACATGCTGGTAATCCCAGCTACTCGGGAGGCAGAGGCAGGAGAATCACTTGAACCTGGGAGGTGGAGGTTGCCACGAGCCGAGATTGTGCCATGGCACTCCAGCCTGGGCAGTAAAAGCGAAACTTGGTCTCAAAAAACAAAAACAAAAAAAAGACACCCTCCCCACCCCCAACACCACCACTACCATGGGTGGTGACTCCTCCCCTCAGGGGCCTGCAGCCACCAGAGAATCTGCCTAAAGCCACACGCTGCCTACATGCTGCAGGGAGGGGCTGATCAGCTGCATCCCTGTCCTCATATGAGTGACTCCTCCCCGGGCACATAGGCCAGACCTTGGGGAGAGCAGGGGAAGGTGTGAGTAGTGTCCACCCCAGTTGTGTGTCAGGCACTGGGCCCCACATCTTCCCCACAGGAGCACCTTTCATACTAGACAGTTCCCTCCGCTCCTGTCCACTGCACACGTGCTGTGTGCCTGGCACTTTCCTAGGCACCATTAGGGGTTTGCAGAAGAATAGAAATGATGGCCAATGTCACATGATCTGAAGCTCTCAACCTGCCAGTGCTGTGCCAAGTGCTCGTGCACTCAAACCCAGCCTGGGGCCAGTGTGCTCTGCATTTTAGGAAGATGGCTATTGCAGGTGCCTGTGTCAGAGGCGCTGTCCCCCTCAGCAGAGGATGGACCTCGCCCTGTAATCTAGCGCTAAGGTTTCTGCTGTGAAATGGATAAAAATCACACTTAAGTGGAGTAATAGAGACTATGAATAGCCTCAGGTCCATTCAGGGTGGGGATTGCCACCAAAAGAGTTACCAGAAGCTGGATGTGGTAGCTTGTCTGTAATCTCAGCACGTTGGGAGGCCGTGATCACATGAGGTCAGGAGTTCGAGACCAGCCTGGCCAACATGGTGAAAACCCGTCTCTACTAAAAATACAAAAATTAGCTGCCGGGCGCGGGTGGCTCAAGCCTGTAATCCCAGCACTTTGGGAGGCCGAGGCGGGTGGATCACGAGGTCAAGAGATCAAGACCGTCCTGGTCAACATGGTGAAACCCCGTCTCTACTAAAAATACAAAAATTCAGCTGGGCATGGTGGCGCATGCCTGTAATCCCAGCTACTCAGGAGGCTGAGGCAGGAGAATTGCCTGAACCCAGGAGGCGGAGGTTGCGGTGAGCCGAGATCGCGCCATTGCACTCCAGCCTGGGTAACAAGAGCGAAACTCCGTCTCAAAAAAAAAAAAAAAAAAAAAAAAAAAAAAAAAAAATTTAGCAGGGCATAATGGCACGCACCCGTAGTCCTAGCTACTCAGGAGGCTGAGGCAGGAGAATCTCTTGAACCCAGGAGATGGAGACTGGAGTGAGTGGAGATTACGCCACTTCACTCTAGCCTGGGTGACAGAGCAAGACTCCATCCAAAAAAACAAAAAAAAATGAATTATGAGAAACTTACAATGTTCAGAGGTTTTGGATCTTAGAATTGTGGATAAAACTATGGGTGTGGCCTGTTTAATCCTCACAACAACCCTGAGTGGGAAAAAAGCCTTAGTCTTGGTCCTTAGGAGCTCAGTCTGAGGATAAAGCTAGCAGGAGCTAATGTTGGGACATTTACCCCAAGCCATGCTTTGCTCTCAGTGCTTCACACACATCTTCCAATAACCTCATGGAGGAAAGGTACTTTGTTATGCCCGTTTTCCAGATAAGACACCTGAGGCATGAGGGGTTAAGTCACCTGTGCAAAGTCACATAGATTTATGCCGACTCTAGAACCTGAGCTCTTGACCACCAGGCTGGGCAAAGCAGATAGGCCTTGTTTGAGAGCCTCTGAGTCTGCAGGGAGGGTATACTCTGTGGGGTCCTACCCAGAAATCACTAGAACAGGAGGTACCAGTGGTCAGACACTGAGGTATCTCTCCAGCAGGGTCCATCCAACAGGATTATCTTCCCTTAATAGATGGGCTCAGAGAGGTTGAGCAACTTACCCAAAGCCACTCAGTTTATGACACAGCCTGGGCTGCTCCGGACTCCTGGTTCAGTGCTCTTTGCACACCGCTCCTTGGTCCTGTCTCCACTGGTACATGTGGCGCCTCAGAGCAGGTGGCACTTGGTGCTGCTTACCCCCCTCCAGTCTCTCTTGTGCCTCTCTGCCCTGCTTCCAGCCATTGAAGCCATGAAGAAGGCCTACCAGGAAGAGCTGAGCCGAGAGCTGAGCAAAACACGGAGTCTCCAGCAGGGCCCAGATGGCCTCCGGAAGCAGCACCAGTAAGATGATGCCGGGCCCAGCTGCCCACCCTAATGGTTATGAGTCGAGGAACTTTGCTGAGACCCCTTGACAGAGGACACATCAGTTTTCCCCTAGCTGAGATTCCTGCACCAGTCTCATGGATGCAAGAAACAGAAGGAGAAAGTCCTCAGGCAGACCCCATTGCCAGTCCTCACAGACAGTTCTTCAGGTGCCTTCTTGTCTAGGCTGGTTCCAGCCTTCACCCACCTCTTCACCCCTTTAGTCTGCCCTAGAGCTGGACTGCAGTGTCACTGTTGACCAGTATGTCTCTCCCTGCCCCAGAGCACAGTACTGGAATGTTGAGGCTTCAGGAGTTTTAAAGATATGCTCCTCCAAGCCACTCTCTCTCATAGGGGAAACACCTGCAATCCAGAGAGGCTGTCACTGGCTTACAGCCCCACAGCAGGCTGAAGGCAAACCTAGAGAGGGAACCCAGAGTTCTGGGATGCTTTGAGTCTGCCATGACCAGACTCCAGGCTTGGCAGGGGCAAGATAACCCATGCTGTCCTTTGCTCCTCCTCTGGGGCAGGTCAGATGTGGAGGCACTGAAGCGGGAGCTGCAGGTGCTATCGGAGCAGTACTCACAGAAGTGCCTGGAGATTGGGGCGCTGACGCGGCAGGCTGAGGAGCGGGAGCACACCTTGCGCCGCTGCCAGCAGGAGGGCCAGGAGCTGCTGCGCCACAACCAGGTGGGCCTGGCCCCAGGTTGGGGGAACGTGGGTGGATCCCGGCACCCCTGCCCTGACCACTGTGCCCCTCCCAGGAGCTGCATGCCCGCCTGTCAGAGGAGATAGACCGGCTGCGTAGCTTCATTGCATCACAGGGCGTGGGCAACGGCTGCGGGCGCAGCAACGAGCGGAGCTCCTGTGAGCTGGAGGTGAGTGCCCTCACTAGCACCAGGCAGCCCAGTGGTTCTTGGGGCCCAGGGCTATGGGGCACTCCGCCCACAGGCTGGGTATCACCTGCTACGGGAACTCCAAGTCCCCCAGTGGCTGGGCCAGCCTAACTCGGCCAGAACATCTACTGTGCGTCCAGTTGCCAGAATTCCGCTCTCCCACCTGGGTTGTGTCACCTGCCTGCTGTGTACCGTAGCCAGTCACTCCACCTTTCTGAGTCCCAGTAGTTCACCTGTAAAATGGCCCTAGCACTTCCCTTACTGGGAAATATTGGGGTAAGAAAATATGCATGTGTGTGATCCCAGGATCACTCTAGTATTTTATTTTATTTTAGACAGAGTTTCACTCGGTCACCCAGGCTGAAGTGCAATGGCACGATCTCGGCTCACTGAAATTTCTGCCTCCCCGGCTCAAGTGATTCTTCTTCCTCAGCCTCCCCAGTAGCTGAGATTACAAGCCCTCACCACCACACCCAGCTAATTTTTTATACGTTTGGTGGAGATGGGGTTTCACTATATTGGCCAGGGTGGTCTCGAACTCCTGACCTCAAGTGATCCACCCGCCTCAGCCTCCCAAAATGCCGGGATTACAGGCATGGGCCACCACACCCAGCCTTAGTATTTTATTTCTTAACACCTAGGTGAGGCTTACCCTCTGCCTAGAACTTCTGGAAGTCCTTTTGGTCTGTTAATTCATCTCATCTTCCTGACAGCTGCATACGTTAGCTGCTGTTACTGTCCGCATTTACAGATGAGGAGACAGACACAGGGAGGGCACGTACCTTACCAAGGCTTGCACAGCTGGCCTGGGACTTGAACCAGGCAGTCTGGCTCCAGTCTGAGCCTTTAAGCCTCCCCAGTCCTGGCTGAACTTGTTTCTTCCTTGGTCAAGGCAGCAGCACCTGGCCCTCAGGGTTGGGGAGGGGTTAGTGAGGTGGGCTGTGGGGTGACCCAGCCACTCAGGTTTATGTAGGGCTTCTTTTCATCTTCCTCACCCCAGAGGTGAGAGCCTGGTGCTGCCTGAGGGCTGCAGCAGAGTTGACCGTCAGATAGCCACTCACACAGGCTGGACAGGGGTGAGAGTAAAGGAAGGGAAAGCAGGGGAATCAAAGAGGGCTTCCTGGAGGAGTCCGACCCTAGGATGTCGAGGGTTTTGGTGCGGATAGGGACTGCATTCTAGGGGCCTGAGGCAGAGAAGGCAGGCTGCAGGGCACTATGGGCCAGGGTAGCTCTGGCTCCTGGCCCTGGGTCAGCCTGGCACCTGTATCCCCAGGTGCTGCTTCGAGTAAAAGAGAACGAACTCCAGTACCTGAAGAAGGAGGTGCAGTGCCTCCGGGACGAGCTCCAGATGATGCAGAAGGTAGGTCTGCCACTGGGCGTGGGGGCCGTGGGGGCCTCTGCAGCCACCTGGGTGCCATCCTGTGAGCACCTGCTCTGTGCCAAGCCCTCCACTTGCCTCATCCTTCCTCAGGCTCTCCTGTGCCTCTCCCATGTAGGTGTCGTCATCCCCATTCACTGACAGGGAAACGGAGGCTAAGAATGGGGAAGTGACTTGCCCAAGGCCATACTTGCTTCTATTTATTTAGCATTATTTAATTTATTGATGATTATTGAGTACCTACTATGTCCCAGGCACTGCGCTAGGTGCTGGGAAGACAGATGTGAACAAAATAGCCCCAAATCTCTGCTGTGTGGACCTTACACTCAAGTGAGAATAGCCACATTGCTAGGAGTGGGCGTGTCAGGGTTCAGCCCAGGTGTGAGTCTGCAGCCCACCTGGCCCACCCTTGGCTGCTATGTCCCAGCCTGGTGCTGTCAGTTTGGGGCGGGAAGTGGACTCTCTAAGCGTGTTTGAGCCAGAACGTATTTACCGTGCTTGAAGAACAGGTGGCGTGAACTCACGGGAAGGGCCCGAGCACCCAGCCAGGCTGACCTGGTTCTCATCCCAACCACTCACTGCCTTTCGTTCTTGGGCAAAATCTCCTCCCGAACAGGATGAGGATGCCAATGACGCCTGTGTCCCTGGGTGGTACCAGGGGGGTGGGAGGGCTAGGACCAAGACCAGGGCTGCCTGGGGGAGCCACCTGGATGCATGGAGCAAGGGGGCTACAGGGAGGTCTGGCTGCTGGTGCTGCCCAAGTGCCAGTTGGGCGGGGCTGGAGGGAGAAGCTTTATCCCCTCACACCCTCCTCCTGCCGTGCAGGACAAGCGCTTCACCTCTGGAAAGTACCAGGACGTCTACGTGGAGCTGAGCCACATCAAGACGCGGTCGGAACGGGAGATTGAGCAGCTGAAGGAGCACCTGCGCCTTGCCATGGCCGCCCTGCAGGAGAAGGAGGCCATGCGCAACAGCCTGGCTGAGTAGAGGTGGGTGCCGAGGCGTGCGCCCTGCAGGCTGGGCAGGGGCTGAGGCTCTCCCACACCCAGGACTCCCTGGGCCACCCCAGCCAGGGCACTTCCTTCTTCTGGCCTCCAATTCCCGTTCTGTGAAAGGGACCATGAAACCAGCAACATGAGGTTGTCGCTGAGATCCCATCAGACCTGGGCCACAGGCTGCCTCATCTGCTTGAGCCTGTTCCCCCAGAGCCGGGCAGTGCAGTGCGGAGCCACAGCCGGCTCAGCGCGCACCCTCCTCGGGGCTGGAGGCACATGTCGTGCCCACCCACAGTGAGCCTCCGCCCACTTCACACACGGACACTGCGCACCGAGGCCGCGCCTGTCCTGGTTCGTCTTAACTTATTCTGGACTTAGCGGGGCTCGAAGTGGTTTTGTTCGTTTGTCTTGAGACAGGGTCTTGCTCTGTCACCCTGGCTGGATGCAGTAATGCAGTCACGGCTTCCTGCAGCCTCAACCTCCTGGGCTTAAGGGATCCTCCCACCTCAGCCTCCTGAGTGGCTGGGACCTCAGGCCCCCACCACTGTGCCCAGATCATTTTTGTACTTTTTGTATAGGCAGGGTTTCGCCCTGTCTCCCAGGCTGGTCTCAAACTCCTGGGCTTAAGCAGTCCACCTGCCTCAGCCTCCCAAAGTTCTGGGATTGCAGGCATGAGCTGCTGCGCCTGCCCAAAGTGTTTTATTTTTCCTTTTTCAACGCCACATCTGCCTGGAACGTCCCCTTTCCGACAAGTCCCCGTGGACTTCTTAAGACACAGGAGAGGCCACTCTGTGGCCGAGCTACTTGGGAAGGAGCCGGGAAGAGCAGATCTGGCTGTACCTTCGGGGCTGCAAGGCGGCAGTGGAAGGACCCACTCATCACCCTTGCCTGGCCTGGGGGTGGCCTCGAAGCCTCTCAGCCCAGGCCTCAGCTGTGCCACGCCTTGTCTTTCAGGTCCCGCCCAGCTGCAGACCCTCCAGCCTGGAGGAGTGGCCGCCCTCCTTCCCTGCTGGATGGAAGTCCAAAGCCAAGCTTTCTCCCCACCCTCTGTGGGCCACACGTGCACTTGCACCCACCACACACACACACACACACACGTCCACGTGCACACACACACACTCTGCGTATCTGAGCGCGCCCCTCGCACTGGGTCTTACCTTGCACCTTCTTCAGGATTTTATATGTGAAAAGATTTTTATATAGATTTTTTTCCTTTTTTTCCAAAACACTTTATACTTTAAAAAAAGCAAAAAGCAATTCCTGGTGGCTGTGTGCCTCCAACCCTGGTCCCCCGCTCTGTCTCCAGCCACCCTCTTCTTGGGCTTCTGGGCTGGTGTCCCTGACCCAGGGGTCTGGCGGAGGCCCAGGCAGCAGCGGCCATGGCGAGCTGTCTCTGCAGGGGAGAGGTGGGAGCCTGCCACCCTCTTCCTGCCCTACCTCCTACTAACACTTCCTGCCCCACACGGCCCGTACCGTGGGGCTCGGGACAGAGGGAGCCAGCAGCCGGCCTCATGGCCCACAGCCTCCTCAGGCTATGCCATGCAGAAGGTGTTTCTCTCCGGCTCCCTGAACCTCTTAACTTAATAAAACGTTCCAGCAGCTCTGGTGTCCTAGGTGGCTGACAGAACCAGAACAGAGACTGGGGTTTCTTGAAGTGGCTTCCCCACTCACACCCTACCCACATCCCACCCATCCTAAAGCAGTGGCCTCTGGGCTTCTGAGGGTGGGGCCTCCCTGAGCAAGGACTGTGACACCCCCAGTGTGGCTTGCAGGCCAGTGGCAGCTGGAAGCGGGTGAGAAATAGCAAGTCCAGCCCCACCCCGACCCACTTAACCAGCGTCTGCATTTTCACAGGCTGCCCCAGTGATTCACGTGACCCTCGAAGTCTGAGGAGCCCTGGAGTAGGGCACAGGGCCCAGGCCTGAGGGAGAGGCCTGGAGCTGAGACTGGCCCTGACCAAGAACTTGCACAAGTCATACCCCTCTCTGAGCCTCAGTTTTCTTCTCCATCAAATGGGTGTTTTTCTTTCAGTCCCAGTCCTCTCCTGAGGCTTTGCTCTGAGGTCATGCCCAACCCTGGGCAGGGGTGAGGTCAAGGGTTGTGGTCACCCCAGGCCCAGGCCCAGTGGGCTGGAGTCCTCACCATGGCCAGCTGTGCTGGTTATGGTCACATGGGGCTGGGAAGAGGTCCCATTTCTGAGACCTACAGAAACTGGCCACATCCAGTAGGGGTGGCTGTGAGAACCCAGAGGAGACCCCAACCCAGCCCACAGGTGGAAGAGTGCCTTTGGAAGCAGCTTTGAAAGATGACTCTTCCAGATGGAAGGATCAGGAAGGGCCTTCCATGCGGAGGCAGGAGCAGGGGCAAGTGTCCCTGGTGTGTTCAGGGAGTGACCCAAAGGAGAGTGACCTCGTGGAGTGGGCGGAAATTGCTTTCCATTCCCTTGCCAGGGATTGGTTCTGGAATGGACAAGGGATGCAGTTCCAGTAAAATGTGGGGGAAGTCTTGGGAGCAGGGTGGAGGGGGGCATCTGGGAAGGGTGTCCTTGGTCTTACAAAGGGGCACAAGAGGCCAGGCGAGGTGGCTCACACCTACAATCCCAGCACTTTGGGAGGCCAAGGCAGGGGGATCACCTGAGGTCAGTTCGAGACCAGCTTGGCCAACATGGTGAAACCCCGTCTCTACTAAAAATACAAAAAGTTAGCCAGACGTGGTACCAAGATCCTGTAATCCCAGCTACTTGGGAGGCTGAGGCATAGAATCCCTTGAACTCAGGCAGTAGAGGCTGCAGTGATCTGAGATTGTGCCACTGCACTCCAGCCTGAGCAAAGAGTTTTGCTCTTTACAATAAGAGCAAAATTCCGTCTCAAAAAAAAGGTGGGGAGGAGGCACAAGGAGGGAACCCCTCTCTTCTGGCCTTGCCACCATCTTGCCTCATCAATGGCTGAAAATGTCAGAGCAGAAGAAAGAGAGCCAAGACCCTGTGCCGTCAAATCCCCCAGGCTTGGCGCTGCCTGCCCCAGCACTACCTGCTTGGGAGATAAGGAGCATTCCTAGCCATGAGGAGACGGGATGTCTGTGAGATGGGATGTCTGTCGCTGGCACCCCTGGCGTCCATCCTCACCATCCCACCATCCCCCCCAGGACAGCTCTCAATCCCATCCTCTGCCTCCGTTCTAGCCTCAGCCTAACTTGGGGCTCCCCCATCTCACACCTGGCTGTGGCAACATCCCCTCACCAACCCCGCTCCCATCTTCTCAGGGCTGCCTGGGGGAGCTACAAAAACCAGACCAACCTCAGGAAGGTGCTCCATATCTCATCAAAAACCGGGAGATCGGCCGGACATGGGAGCTCAACGCCTGTAATCCCAACACTTTGGGAGGCTGAGGTGGGTGGATCATGAGGTCAGGAGTTCAAACCAGGCCAGCCAAGATGGTGAAACTCTGTCTCTACTAAAAATACAAAAATTAGCTGTGCGTGGTGGCAGGCGCCTGTAATCCCAGCTACTGGGGAGGCTGGGGGAGGAGAATCGCTTGAACCCGGGAGGCAGGTGGCAGTGAGTCGAGATGGCACCACTGTACTCTAGCCTGGGCAACAAGAGTGAGACTGTCCCAAAAAACAAACAAAAACATGCGATCACACTCCCCCACTATTAGAATAGGTCAAGGGACAAGGTCTGTCAGTGCAACATGCTGGTAGGAATACAGAGGATGGCGGCTCCCGGGCGCTGCTGGCGCGAGTGTGCTTTGTACAACCATGGCAGGAAACCGACAGCTTCTCACACAGTTAAATACACATCTACCCTATGGCCTAGCATTTCCACTCCTGCTTACATACCCAAGAGAAATGAGCGCTTACATGCACGAAAGGATGAGTATGGGAGTACTCACATCAGCAAATAAAGAAACTATACAGTAGTTGCCGATCAGTTACAGAATGAATAAATTGTGGTATATTCATACATCAGAATACCACACAGCAATTAAAAAAAAAAATAGAGACAGGGTTTCACCATATTGGCCAGACTGGTCTCAAACTCCTGACCTCGTGATCTGCCCGCCTCAGACTCCTAAAGTGTTGGGATTACAGGCGTGCAGGTGCGAGCCACCGTGTCTGGCCTATACAAGCAATTTTTAAAGAATTGCTACATACAAAACATTGGTGAATCTTTCAGATACAATATTCAGCAGAAGTAACCACAGTAGAGTGAAGCCTGTATGGTTTTGTTTAGGTGACATTCAAGAACAGACAAAACATTATGGTGATAGTGTCAGAACAGCGGGTATCTCTGAGCTGAGGGACATTAACCAGCAGTGGGCAAAAGGGAACATTCTGGTCCCAGACATGTTTATATCATGGTCTGCGTTATAGTCATGTGGGTACATACACATGTGAAAATTTACCATGCCGGCTGGGCACGGTGGTGGCTCACGCCTGTAATCCCAGCACTTTGGGAGACAGATGTCGTCCCACTTTGTTGTCCAGGCTGTAGTGCAATGGTGTGATCTTGGCTCACTGCAACCTCTGCCTCCTGGGTTCAAGCAAGTCTCCTGCTTCAGCCTCCTGAGTAGCTGAGATTACAGGCGCCCACCAGCACACCCAGCTAACTTTTGTATTTTTTTTAGTAGAGATGGGGTTTCACTACGTTAGACAGGCTGGTCTCAAACTCCTGACCTCAAGTGATCCAACCGCCTCGGCCTCCCAAAGTGCTGGGATTACAGGAATGAGCCACCGAGCCCGGCCTGGACATCTCTCTCCACATGGCCACTCCATGGGGCTAGCTTGGGCTCGTCACAGCATGGTGGTCTTGGGACAGTCTATAGTCTGCCTTCCTACATGGTGGTTGACTTCCCCTAGAAAGGGAGTCCTGGCCAGGTGCAGTGGCTCACGACTGCACTTCAGGAAGCCGAGGCAGGAGGATCACTTGCAGCCAAGAGTTAGTTTGAGACTAGCCTGGGCAACACAGCAAAACCCCCTATATACAAAAAAAAAAAAAAGAAAAAAAAAAAGCCAGGCATGGTAGTGCACATGCCTGGAGTCCCAGTTACTCGGGAGGCTGAGGCAGGATGATTGCTTGAGCCCAAGAGCTGGAGGTTGCAGTGAACTGTGATCGCTGCCACTGCACTCTAAAGTGAGACCCGCCTCTAAAAAAATAAAAACAAAGGGAGCCTCAGGAGCCCCAAGTGGAATCTACAAGCTTCTTACGAGTGAGGCTTAGAGGTGCTGCAGCATCACTTCCATCACTACTCAAAACGAGCACATGCTGTCTGTCTCCGTGGGCTGAGTGTTTGTTGACTGACTGACTGAGTAATTGGAAGTGAACGATCACTGAGTCAGACACCCTCAAGGCAGGGAACAGCCACAGCCTCAGCTCCATGCCTCAGTCTCTCCCCTCTTCACTCATTCAGTCACTGAAAGTCTGTGTCATCCCCTAGCCCTGTGACCTCCACTGTGGCATCTCCAGAGCCATATTCCAGCTGCTCCCACATGGCTGTGTCCTCTCAGGAGCCGGGCAGCTGGTGCACTGGCCGTGTGTCTGAAAGGTGACAGGAACATTCATTCCAGCATAAGAAGGAGGAAGTGCGCCAGGCACAGTGGCTCATACCTGTAATGGCAAGGGCCTGGATGTCCCCATAAACCCACTGAGAAGCCCAGCAGCCAGCCTGAAGGGCTGGAGGCTAATGGCAGTTTCTGGCACATGAGAGGGCCAGGATGTAACTGTGAGTCACCCCTATCATCCCATAAAGTCCCCCAGTACTTTACGAGGGGACTCAACTTTGATGGAGCGTCTGCCATGAGCAAACATTATGACGGCCAACCTTCTAATGCTCACAGCAACCCTTTAAAGTACCGCTCTCCCCTTGTTACAGGAGGAAACAGAGGAGGCTTGGCTTACCCAAAGACAACAGTTTAGTGGCTCACATCCCAGCAGATCTGACTCTACAGCCCATCTCCCCTCCCTGCCCAGAGGTCCCCTTAGCAGTCACCATGCCTGCCTTTTGCTGAGCACTTACTGTGGGTGGGACCCTGGAACAAGCATTTCATTCAAGAGCTCCTTTAATCCCCAGAGCAGCCTGATGAGGGAGGTGGTGCAGTTGTCCCAGATAGGGGGCCAGAACTCAACAGCACGATGAGGTGACAGCCAGGTCAGCTGGCCTCACAGCCCAGGTGGCCACCTGAGCTGACCCACATCTTATTGGAGGTCGCCTGGGCACTGGGTACCTTGGGTCCCCCTGCCTGGGGGTAGGCATGGGGGGAGGTCTGGGTGTACCTTGGTGAGGCTGATTTGAATAAGCCACCCCCACACTCCTGCCTCAGTTTCCCTAGTAAAGCAGGGCAACAGCTTCTTCCCAAAGGGCCCAGAAAGGCGAGAGCTCCGTGCAAAGGGCAGCAGGAGGGGTTTCGGGGGTTGCCCTGTCACGACGCCGAAGCTCCAGCCCCTAAGTCTCGGGGCTGCCAACGTTGCTTGCTTTCCAGAGCCCCTGAGCTTTTACACAGGCTGATCCCTGCCTGGAACTCCCAGGCCAGCCCCTCCCTAACTCTGGCCATCCTGGCCCCAGTTGATCCCACCCTCTCTGAGCACTTGTGGCTTCTCAATGCCAGGACTCAACCAGGCTGGCAGAGCCTGCGTCTTCAGGTTGGTCACCTGGCTTGGCCATCTACTAGCCCAGGGACCTCAACTGTGGCATCTCCAGAGCCACATCCCAGCTGCCCCCACATGGCTGTGTCCTCTCTCAGGACTGGGCAGCTGGTGCACTGGCCAAGTGTGTCTGAAAGGTGACAGGTACATTAATTCCAGCATTAGAAGAAGGAAGTGGCTCCCGCCTGTAATCTACACTTTAGGAGGCCGAGACGGATGATCACCTGAGGTCAGATGTTTGAGACCAGTCTGGCCAACGTGGTGAAACCCTGTCTCAACTAAAAACAGCTGGACGTGGTGGCACACGCCTGTAATCCCAGCTACTCAGGAGGCTGAGGCACGAAAATCGCTTGAACCCAGGTGGCTGAGGTTGCAGTGAGCCTAGATCATGCCATTGAACTCCAGCTGGGTGACCTGAGAAACTCCGTCTCAAAAAAAGGGTGGGGCGCTGAGTGCGGTGGCTCACGCCTGTAATCCCAGCACTTTGGGAGGCCAAGGTGGGTAGATTACAAGGTCAGGAGTTCAAGACCAGCTTGACCAACATGGTAAAACCTCATCTCTACTAAAAATACAAAAATTAGCCAGGCATGGTGGCGCGCACCTATAATCCCAGCTACTCAGGAGGTTGAGGCAGGAGAATTGCTTGAACCTGGGAGGTGGAGGTTGCAGTGAGCCAAGATGGCCCAACTGTGCTCCAGCTTAGGTGAGAGTGAGACTCTGTCTCAAAAAAAAAAAAAAAAGAAAATGTGTCCTGTGCAGATTTGCCTCTGTATTTATGCATGTTTAACCCTCTCCAGAAGGATGTGCACACATATGCTTGTGCACACACACCCCCAGGGTGACGGGGCCCTGGACACACAAGACCCTGGGAACAGCGATTGCCTCCTTGGCAAGGGGGCAGGAAGGCCAGGGGCCAGGGGTGGTGGGACACACTTCTGTATGGTTTTTCTTTTTTTTTTTTTTTTTTTGAGACAGAGTCTCAAACTGTCGCCAAGGCTGTAATGCACTGGTACGATCTTGGCTCACTGCAATCTCTGCCTTCTGGGTTCAAGCAATTCCCCTGCCTCAGCCTCCCAAGTAGCTGGGATTATAGGCGGGGGCCACCACGTCCAGCTAATTTTTTTGTATTTTTAGTAGAGATGAGGTTTCACCATGTTGGCCAGGATGGTCTTGATCTCATGACCTCATGATCCACCCACCTCAGCCTCCCAAAGTGCTGGGATTACAGGTGTGAGCCACCACGCCTGGTCCATTTCAGTGTTAAATGCTTTCCTATGTTCTGCACCATTTCCCACATGCATGTGATATCTATTCCAAAATAAAGTTTTAAAAAGGCATAAAATAGTCCTGAACGGAGGCTGGCATGGGAGTGGCAGGGCTGGCACCAAGCTCAGGGGTCACTGTCCGGCTCTGCCACGTACCTGCTTCAATCAATGATCCTCCCTGGAAATTCACTTCCTCACCTGTGATGAGATTAAGAAATGAGATTAAGTGAGGCCCCAGGCGTGGCCAGACCCACTGAGTCTGAGTAGCAGCTGTTATCATTCCTGTTAATGCCCTGGTCAAGCCTGTTCCGGGCACCAGAGTGACAGACTTAAAGGGCCACGCCCTGTCCCTGCCCTCACCCTGCAAGGGCAAGGGGAGAGACAATGCCAGGGACAGCTGATACAACTGACCCGGCCAGAGGAGCCTGGGAAGGCTGCATAGCACAGGTAACGCCTGTACTGAGTCTTCGAAGATAAATAGACATAATTGGGAGACCAAAGGAGAGAGGGTGCTCCAGGCTGAGGAAGCAGAGCCTGCCAAGACTCTAAAAAACTCATGCTGGGCACACCACACCCACACCATGTAAGCAGAGCTGTAGATGAACACACGAACACCTGTGATCACAGCTGCCCTATTCTATACACTCCTGCTCACATACACAGCCCATGCGCATGCCGTATATGCCCCCGGCGTGCACAGCAGACAGCCTGTTCAGAAAATATTTGCTGTATGATCCTTTTCTAGTTCATAAGCATCATGATTGGGCTTTCATGCTTAGGGGTGAGATGAGCCTCCCTTCAGTCTTCTTACAGGTCAGGTGTGTGGCTCACGCCTGTAATCTCAGCACACTGGGAGTCTGAGGTGGGAGGATCGTTTGAGACCAAGAGTTTAACATGGCCCTGGGCAATATAGTGAGATCTCATCTGCAGAAAAGTTGTTTTTGTTTTTGTTTTTGAGATGAAGTCTCACTCTGTCCCCAGGTAGTGGCATGATCTCGGCTCACTGCAGCCTCCTCCTCCTGGGTGCAAGTGATTCTCCTGCCTCAGCCTCCCGAGCAGCTGGGACTACAGGTGCGCACCACCACGTCCAGCTAATTTTTTAGAGATGCGGTTTCACCATGTTGGCCAGGATGGTCTCAATCTCTTGACCTCATGATCTGCCTGCCTTGGCCTCCCAAAGTGCTGAGATTACTGGCATGAGCCACTGTGCCCAACCGAAAAGTTTTTTTTCAGCCAGGCACGGTGGTGCAGCTGTGGTCCCAGCTACTAGAAAGGCTGAGGAAGGGTTGGCACCGTGGCTCAATCCCAGCACGTTGGGAAGCCAAGGTGGGTGGATCACCTGAGATCAGGAGTTCGAGACCAGCCTGGCCAACATGGTGAAACCCCATCTCTACTAAAATACAATAATTAGCCAGGCGTGGTGTTGGGCACCTGTAATACCAGCTACTCGGGAGGCTGAGGCAGGAGAATTACTTGAACGCTGGAGGCGGAGGTTGCAGTGAGCCAAGATCACACCATTGCACTTCAGCCTGGGCGAGCGACAATAGCAAAACTCCATCTTACCAAAAAAAACAAAAACAAAAACAAAACTTAGGGCTGAAGGGCTGAAGCCTAGGCAATATAGTGAGATCCTGTCTCCACAAAAAAATAGAAAAAATTAGCTGGGCATGGTGGCATGCCTGTGGTGCCAGCGACTGGGTAGGAGGCTGAGGTGGGAGGATTGCTTGAGCCTGGGAATTGAGGCTGCAGTGAGCCATGATTGCACCACTGCACTCCAGCCTGGGCAACACAGAGCCCCTGTCTCAAAACAAACAACCGTAAGCCTGTACACAGTGGCTCCAGCCTGTAATCCCAACACTTTGGGTGGCTAAGACAGGAGGATCGCTTGAGCCAGGAGTTCAAGGTTACACTTGAAGGTTACATGCACCACTGCACTCCAGCCTTGGCAACAGGCGAGACCCTGTCTCAAAAATAATATGAATAAATTTAAAATAGACCAGGCTCGGTGGCTCACGCCTGTAATCCCAGCACTCTGGGAGGCCAAGGTGGGCAGATCACCTGAGGTCAGGAATTCAAGACCAGCCTGGCCAACAGGGTAAAACCCTGTCTCTACTAAAAATACAAAAAAAATTTAGCTGGGCATGATGGCGGGCACCTATAATCCCAGCTACTTGGGTGGCTGAGGCAGGAGAATCACTTGAAGCCAGGAGGTGGAGGTTGCAGTGAGCTGAGATCATGCCACTGAACCTTAGCCTGGGCAACAAAAGAGTGAAACTCCATCTCAAAAAAAAAAAAAAATTAAAAATTAATTAAAAAAAATTAAACAGTAAACACTCAAGCAAAGTCACGTGGAACTGCCAGTGAAAGCTTTGGATCAGCAGAAGAAAATCCACTGCTCCTACAGTGGAGATAAAGCTTAGCCAAAACAAAGACACTTAACATGGTCACAGGTCTCTGCTGCCTTGTGGGTAAACATGTCATTTCTATCCAGGAGTCTGAAATACTAATGATGAAAACAGCTAACAGTTAAACTGCAGCACTTACTCTGTGTCAGGAACTCCATTCATTCATTCATTCATTCATCTTTTTTTTTGAGATGGAATCTCTCTCTGTCACCCAGGCTGGAGTGCAGTAATTTGGTCTCGGCTCACTGCAGCCTCCACCTCCTGGGTCCAAGAGATTCTCAGCCTCCCGAGTACCTGGGATTACAGGCACCCGCCATCATCATCATGCCTGGCTCATTTTTGTATTTTTAGTAAGGCAGGGTTTCACCTTGTTGGCCAGGCTGGTCTCAAACTCCTGACCTCAAGTGGAAGCCCACCTCAGCCTCCCAAAGTGCTAGGATAGCAATGCTCTTGATTTCTAGTGGCAAATTGTCATCTGAGTAGGTTGATCTGACAACCACCCTTGTGGGCAAGTATGGGAGTTCTGTCTGCAATCAAGCTTGCAAGCACCGTGATCACCTCTCAAGATCTTAATCTGAATGGGGAAAAAGATGACATTGCTAGCTAGGACAGGTGGCTCATGCCTGTAATCCCAGCACTCTGGGAGGCCGAGGCAGGTGGATCACCTGAGTCCAGGAGTTCAAGACCAGCCTTGGCAACATGATGAAACCTCCGTCTCTACTAAAAATACAAAAAATTAGCCAGGCATGGTGGCGTGTGCCTGTAAGTCCTAACTACTTGGTGGGCGGAGGTGGGAGAATCACCTGAGCCTGGGAGGTAGAGGCTGCAGTGAGCCAAGCCACTGCACTCCAGCCTGGGCAACTGGAGTGAGAGAGACCCTGTCTAAAAAAAAAAAAAAAAAAGTAATACATGTGGCAGTGGCTTGCGCCTGTAATCCCAGCACTTTGGGAGACAGAGGCCGGCGGATCACCTGAGGTCAGGAGTTCGAGACCAGCCTGGCCAACATGGTGAAATCCTATCTCTGATAAAAATACAAAAATTAGTCGGGCGTGGTGGTGTGTGCCTGTAATCCCAGCTACTCGGGAGGCTGAGGCACGAGAATTACTGGAACCCACCAGGCAAATGTTGCAGTGAGTCAAGATGGCACCATTGCACTCTAGCCTGGGCGACAGAGAGAGGCTCTGTCTCAAAAAACAGACAAAAAAAAGAAGTGTATAAACTAAAACATAACAGTGCACCATGACCCAAATCCATTTCTCAGAGAAAATCATCACTGATAACATGGAGTGTCCACATATGCACACACACTCACGGGCTACTTAACCGGCTTGGAGAACAGCCCCAGCTGCTGTGCTGTGGTTGCTTTTTTTGAACCAATCTCTACCGCATCCTCATGCATTTATTGTTAAGAAGCCCAGCATCTCCCTCTTGAGGTCTCTTCCAGAATAGTCTAGGAACCCCAGGGGCTCACTCTGTCCAAAGGAGGCCAGTCCTACTCTGCAAGACCTCGTGGTGCACTGTGTGGGCCCCAGCATTACAGTCCTCTCAGTTCGTTCCAGGAGCTCAGCTCCCTGAAAGGAAAATGATGTCAAGCTGGGCACAGTGGCTCATGCCTGTAATCCCAGCACTGTGGGGGTGCTGGGACAGGTGGATCGCTTGAGGTCAGGAGTTCAAGACCAGCCTGGCCAATATGGTGAAACCTCCTCCTTGTATTTTTGGGTGAAACCAAAAATACAAAAATTAGGCCAGGCACAGTGGCTCACGCCTGTAATCCCAGAACTTTGGGAGGCCAAGGTGGGAGGACCACTTGAGGCCAGGAGTTCAAGACTAGCCTGGGCAATATAGTGAGGCCCCCATCTCTATATTTAAAAATTATCTGAGCATAGTGATGCACACCTGTGGTCCCAGGTACTCAGGAGGCTGAGGCAGGAGGATCACTTGAGCCCAGGAGTTCAAGGTTGCATGAGTCATGATCCATATTTCAGCCTTGGTGACAGAGTGAGACCCTCTGTCAAAAACAAATAAACTAACAAAAGGCCAGGCACCATGGCTCACGCATGTAATCCCAGCACTTTCATAGGCCAAGGTGGGTGGATCACTTGAGGTCAGGAGTTCAAGACTAGCCTGGCCAATGTGGCAAAACCCCAACTCTACTTAAAATACAAAAATTAGCCAGGTATGGTGGTGGATGCCTATAATCCCAGCTACTTGGGAAATTGAGGCAGGAGGATCGCTTGAACGCAGGAAATGGAGGTTGCAGTGAGCTGAGACCATGCCACTGCACTCCTGCCTGGGCAACAAGAGCGAAACTCTGTCTCAAAAATAAATAAACAAATAAATAGATAAAGAGCATGGAATTAGACTGCTTTAGGTAAGTTCCTTCCTCACCCATCAAACAAGGTGATGACCATGATAATAACAGCAAAAGACCAAATATGTTCATACCTATGGACAGATCACTTCTAGCACACTGTGGGCAGATAGTAACTGCTCAATAAATGGGAACTACCATTGTATATCTATATGTAGTTCTCTAATATCCTTATTTTATAAAAAATGAGACCCCCCATATTTTTCTTAGCTTCCTTTTGTCAGGTAATATATCACAGACGTCTTCTGTGTCGGCACATGCAGCCTCCTGTGTGAGAGCCACATGGCCTTCCAAAGGATACCATCCATGCAGGAGGCTAAACTGTGTCTGTGGGGTCAAAACCCTCTGTCTGTGCCATGCTGATACCTTCTGTTGCTTTAAAACTTGGAAATGGCTGGGCACTGTGGCTCACACCTGTAATCCCAACACTTTGGGAGGCCAAGGTGGGAGGATCACTTGAGCCCAAGAGTTTGAGACCAACATGGATGACATGGTGAAACACTGTCTCTACAAAAAATACTCAAATTAGCCAGGTGTGGTGGCCTGTGCCTGTAGTCCCAGCTATTTGGGAGGCTGAGGTAAGAGGATCAACTTAGCCCTGGAGTTAAAGGATGCAGTAGCCAAAATTGCACTCCAGCTGGGGCTCCAAGAGAAGACTCTATCTTTCCTTCCTTCTTTCTTTTTTTTCTTTTTTTGAGACAGAGTCTCTCCCTGTCCCCCAGGCTGGAGCGCAATGGCGCAATCTCAGTTCACTGCAACCTCTGTCTCCTGGGTTCAAGAGATTTTCCTGCCTCAGCCTCCCGAGTAGCTGGGATTATAGGCACACGATTACCAGCCGAGAACCCTGTCTTAAGAAACAAAAACAAGGCTGGGCGCAACTTTGGGAGGCTGCGGTGGGCAGATCATCTGCGGTCAGGAGTTCGACACCAACCTGGCCAACATGGTAAAACCTGGTCTCTGCTAAAAATACAAAAATTAGCCAGACATGGTGGCACACGCCTATAATCCCAGCTACTAGGGAGGTCAAGGCAGGAGAATCACTTGAACCCAGAAGGCAGAGGTTGCAGTGAGCCAAGATCGCGCCAGTGCATTTCAGCCTGGCAACAGAGCAAGACTTCATCTCAAAAAAAAAAAAAAAAGAAAGAAACACAAAAAGAAAGTTGGAAATTAGTTCAGTTAGATCAGTTAAAGTTTAACTAATTAAAGTGTACCTGAATTTTTATTTCTTTGTCTGGAAATGTGTGTTTGTCCTGTTCCTTTGACTTCCAACCCACGTGGGATGGCAATTGTTTTCCTAACTTGGGAGAAACAGGTGAGAGGTCAGCTTCCACAGGGTGAGGCTGTCAAGGAGGAGGGGGAACCAGGACAGCCAGTGGCCAGGGCAGGACAGAAAGCCCGCTACCTTTATTTATTTTTTGTTTTGTTTTGAGGCAGTCTTTCTGTGTCTCGCCCAGGCTGGAGTGCAGTGGCGCAATCACAGATCACTGCAGCTCCATCTCCCAGGTTCAAGGGATTCTCCTGTCTCAGCCTCCTGAGTACCTGGGATTACAGATATGTGCCATCACACCCGGCTAATTTTGTATTTTTTTAGTGGAGACTGGGTTTCACCATGTTGGCCAGGCTGGTCTCAAACTCCTGACCTCACATGATCCGTCTGCCTTGGCCTCCCAAAGTGCTGGGATTACAGGCGTGAGCCACCGTGCCTGGCCTGTTTTGTTTTTTCTTTTTTTTTTTTTAGACAGAGTCTCACTCAGTTGACCAGGCTGGAGTGCAGTGGTGCAATCTCAGCTCACTGCAACGTCTGCCTCCCAGGTTCAAGCAATTCTCCTGCCTCAGCTTCCAGAGTAGCTGGGATTACAGGTGCCTGCCACCACACCAGGCTTGTTTTTGTATTTTTAGTAGAGACAGGGTTTCACCATATTGGCCAGGCTGGTCTCGAACTCCCGACCTCAAGTGATCTGCCTCCCAACGTGTTGGGATTATAGGTGTGAGCCATGGTGCGTGGCTGTGGCCTGCCATCTTTGTTTCTGCTCCAGATGCCTGGGAGTCCTTCCGTTTTCTCCCTCACCCTCAGAGCCAACCCTTTAGCAAGGACTCATCCTCAGTCTTTCTCACATCTGCCTCGTCCTTTCACCGACACGGCCACCACTTTAACTCAGAAATTGGATCACGGAGATGGCCCCTAATGGTTTCACTGCCTTCTTCTGCCCTTCCCTAGTCCATTGTCCATGGGGCAGGGGCACTTTGGAAAGGAGGTGGCGCTACCTGGTAATGCTAAATCTATGTATACTTCTAGCTCCCCTTTGCACCAGAACCTTTGAAGTAGGAAAGTCACAGCAACATTGTCTGCAAAGCAGGAAACTGGAAAAGGCCAGGCATACACAGCAGCTCATGCCTATAATCCCAGCACTCTGTGAGGCCAAGGCAGGTGGATCACTTGAGGCCAGGAGTTTGAGACCAGCCTGGGCAACATAGTGAGACCCCATCTCTATAAAAACAAAAGAAACAGCTTGGCGCTGCGGCTCACACCTGTAATCCCAGCACTTTGGGAGGCCAAGGCGGGTGGATCACGAGATCAGGAGTTCAAGAACAGCCTGGCCAACATGGTGAAACCCTAAAAATACAAAAATTAGCTGAATGTGGTGGCAGGAGCCTGTAATCCCAGCTACTTGGGAGGTTGAGGCAGGCGAATCGCTTGAACGCAGGAGGTGGAGGTTGTAGTGAGAGGGGATCACGCCACTGCACTCCAGCCTGGGCGACAGCGAGCCTCTGCCTCAAACAAACAAACAAACAGAAGAGACTGGAAACAATTCAAACCTCCATCAACCACAGTGGATTCTTTTCCTGTTGCTGCTGTAACAAGTTACCCCAAACTCAGTGGATGAAACACACACACTTATCATGTTACAGAGCTGGAGGTCAGAAGTCCAAAATGAGTTTTACTGAATTAAAATCAACAAGTCAGCAGGTATGCATTCCTTCTGCAGGCTCTAAGGAAGGGTCTGGTTTTCGCTTTTTTTTTCTGGCTTTCAGAAGCTGCCTGCTTTCCTGGGCTTATGGGTCCTTCCATCTTAACGTCAGCAGTAGTGGGCAGGTCTTTCTCAGGACGCCATCTCAGGGGCTAACTCTTCTGCCTCCCTCTCTCCCATTTAAGGATCCTTGGCCAGGTGGTGGCTCACACCTGCAATCTCAGCATTTTGGGAGGCCAAGGCAGGTGGATCACCTGAGGTCGGGAGACCAGCCTGACCAACATGGAGAAACCCCATCTCTACCAAAAATACAAAATTAGCTGGGCGTGGTGGCACATGCCTGTAATCCCAGCTATTCAGGAGGCTGAGGCAGGAGAATTGCTTGAACCAGGGAGGAAGAGCTTGCGGTGAGCCAAGATTGCACGTTTGCACTCCAGCCTGGGCAACAAGAGTGAAACTCCATCTCAAAAAGAAAAGAAAAAGGATCTTTGTGATTCCATTGGGTCCCGCAGAGTAATCCAGGATCATCTCCCATCTCCAGGCTGGGTAACGAGCAACCTTCTTTCTCTCTTGCCATTTTTTTCTTTTTTGGTCTTTTTATTGTTTTCCTTTTTGTGGAGAACGGGGTCTCGCTATATTGCCCAGGCAGGTCTCAAACTCCTGGGCTCAAGCTACCCTCTCACCTCTGCCTCCCTAAGACCTGGGATTTGCCCCGTCCATCTCACAGAGTAAATCTTGACTCAAAGTGTGGAAGTCAAAGCCCTTTGGAAGCGGGGGAGGCCCAGGCAGGTGCAGATTGTTTGCTTGCTGGTCTGGGTGTGAACAGAACAGACATGTGCTTGCCCCTCGGGGCTCAGTCTCTAGTGGGGAAGTTGGGCACTGCTGCCATTGTAAAGTGCAATTTTGTGAAAAGTGCTTAGAAGGAAAGGAACAGGGGCCATGAGAGGGGGTTGCGGAGTCCTAATTAGGAAGGGGGAGTCGGACAGGTGGGATTGAGGGAAAGCAAAAGGAGAAAGCAGATGAGCTCTAAGTCTGCCTTTCTTCATGGTCCAGAGCACAGGCCCTCCTGCACAAACAACTCACAGTCTTCCTGCACTCAGCTATCCCCAGACCCTCAGCAGACAGAAAATCGCGAGTTAGCTCACTGCAGCCTTGAGTTATCAGTGCCACACAAAGCCCTCTCCAGTACGCGGCACGAGCACCATCCTGCACCATCCCCAGCAAGACTTTCTCTCCTTGCAAACAGCCCCTTCTCTGCTGTGCTGCCTGTTACAAACTTGCAAGCATTTTTTTTCCTTTTTTTTTCTTTTTTGAGATGAGATCTCGCCATGTCGCCTGGGTTGGAGTGCAATGGTGCAATCTTGGCTCACCACAACCTCTGCCTCCCAGACTCAAGTGATTCTCCTGCCTCAGTCTCCCGAGTAGCTGGGACTACAGGCATGTGGCACCACGCCTGGCTAATTTTTGTATTTTTGGTAGAGACAGAGTTTGCCTTGTTGGCCAGGCAGGTCTCCAACTCCTGACCTCAGGTGATCTGCCTGCCTTGGCCTCCCGAAGTGCTGGGGATTACAGGTGTGAGCCATTGCTCCAGGCTGCAACACATTTTCATACCTTCTCTAATAAATGTGCCTTTCTTTACCTACAATTATCTTGGTAAATTTTTCTTATTCCTGTGCTACTGGCCTCACATAGCTGCTGCTCACCTGAGATAGGAGTGACAGAGGGTTGATTCATATAAAGTATAATGACCAAATTAGAAGAATTGAGATATCTATCACCTTAAACATTTATCTTTTCTGGCCGGGCGCGGTGGCTCACGCCTGTAATCCTAGCACTTTGGGAGGCCGAGGTGGGTGGATCACCTGAGGTCAGTAGTTCAAGACCAGCCTGGCCATCATGGTGAAACCACATTTTAAAAAAAAAAAAAAAATTATTTTTTCTTTGTGCTGGGAACATGGGAATTATTCTCCTGTAGCTATTTTGAAGTATACGGTGGGTTATGGTTAACTGCAGTCACCCCGCTGACCTATGGAACATTCTGTCTTATTTCTTCTAGCTAACTGCATATTGTCCCTGTTGATCAGCTTCTCTTCTTCCTCCCCTCCTTGCTATCCTTCATGGCCTCTGGTAACCACCAATCTGCTCTCCATCTTCATGAGATCCCCCTTTTTTTTTTGAGAGGGAGTCTCGCTCTGTTGCCCAGGCTGGAGTGCAGTGGCACCATCTCAACTCACTGCAACCTCCACCTCCCGGGTTCAAACGATTCTCCCTGCCTCAGCCTCCCATCTAGCTGGGATTATGGGTGCCTGCCACCATGCGCAGCACATTTTTTGTATTTTTATTTGAACTGGGGTTTCACCATGTTGGCCAGGCTGATCTGGAACTCCTGACTTTGGGTGATCCACCTGCCTCGACCTTCCAAAATGTTGAGATTACAGGCCTGAGCCACCACGCCCCGCCACAATCCACTTTTTTTTAGCTTCCACATATGAGTGAGAACATGCAATATTTGTCTTTCTGTGCCTGGCTTATTTCGGTTAATACGATGACCTTCAGTTCCATCCGTGTTGTTGCAAACGACAGGATTTCATTCTTATTTGTGGCTGAATAACTTTCCCTTTGTTTATATGCCACATTTCCTTCATGCATTCATCCATTGAGAGGCACTTGGGTTGACTCCATATTTTGACTATTGTGAATGGTGCTGCAATTAACATGTGAGTGCAGATATCTTTTCGATATGCTGATTTCCTTTCTTTTGGTTATATACTGAGTAGTGGGATTCATCTGAACCATTTTTTTTTTAGACTAGTCAAGTTCAGTAGTGAGAAGGGGGCAAAAGGTAGAACAAGGGGCCGGGCAGGGTGGCTCACACCTGTAATCCCAGCACTTCGGGAGGCCGAGGCAGGTGGATCACTTGAGGTCAGGAGTTTGAGACCAGCCTGGCCAACATGGTGAAATCCTGTCTCCAGAAAAAATACAAAAATTAGCCGAGTGTGGTGGCAGGCTCCTGTAATCCCAGTTACTCCGGAGGCTGAGTCAGGAGAATCCTTGGAACCCGAGAGGCGGAGGTTGCAGTGAACCAAGATCACGCCATTTCACTGCAGCCTGGGAGACAGAGCAAGACTCCACCTCAAAAATAATAAATAAAGCCGGGCACAGTGGCTCACGCCTGTACTCCCAGCACTTTGGGAGGCTTAGGCGGGTGGATCACCTGAGGTTGGGAGTTTGAGACCAGCCTGGCCAACATGGTGAAACCCCGTCACTACTAAAAATACAAAATTAGCTGGGCTTGGTGGCACATGCCTATAATCCCAGTTACTCTGGATGCTGAGGCAGGAGAATCAGTTGAACCCGGGAGGCGGAGGCTGCCGTGAGCCGAGATGTCACCATTGCACTCCAGCCTGGACACGAGAGGGAAACTCTGTCTCTAAATAAATAAATAAATAAATAAAAGCTGGAGGCTGAACCTGTGACCCGAAAAGCCCTGCTGTGAGGCCCCGAGAGTTGCAGGGGCTCCCAGAGTCCTCTGGT